AATCCCCCAACCCTTTTTTTCGTCACGGTGCTGTTTCAGGAATTTGGACCCGCGGCCTTACCTGTAAAGCAAGGACTGCCTGGCCACTAATGGGTCTGATGTGACCATAATGACGGGACAGCGAGGCCGGTACATGGACATCAGGTAGGCCGTGCGACCCGTCATAGACAGCGTGAGGATTGCTTTTGCTTGACACTGGGGAATTGTCGAGCTCTAGTTTACAAAGTGACGATGCAACCACTTAGAACTGCTCGATGGACAACTGTAAAGACGTTTTTAAACCCAGCTGCACAACTAAATTAAATCCACTATTGTTTTGCTTGCTGGTCTGCTAATGAAAAAAATGTGAAAAACAAACAAGCGTTCTTTTTCCTCACGTTCCATATTAAACAGAAAACGTTGGACAGATTGGCTTCTAAGTTAGACAATGGAAAAATAAATGAAATGAATACAACTTAAAATTTAGCGACACCCCTCCCCCTTTCCCCATTTTCCCGATCTAATTGAGAAAATCAACGAAACATGCATATAAAGTAATAACAAATAAATGGTATATGTTTAACACCCCTATCACCACTATTAGGTTATTTAAGAGGCGGGACCTCCGAGTTTAACGTCCATCTCCGAAAGGACTGAGCCAAGTGGGAAATTCTTGTAAAGTACCTTTCCCAAATACACAGCGTCGGACCGAGCTGAGGATCGAACCCCCGTACCCACAATCTCACGATTACGAGTCCGGTAGCCTAACCACCAGGCCACCGACGCCACTATAAAGAAATAAATAGTTAAATGAATAAATGAAAAAAAGAAAAACAACATATTATACACGTATATATAGTATTTAAATGTATTCCATTAGCCGATAAATAAATAAGTAAATAAATGAATAAATAAATAAATAAATGGAAGAAAGAATGAAAAATAAAAGAAAGAATGAATAAATGAATAAATGAATAAATGAAATTCTTTGTCCAACATGTACAGTCAACTCTGTCTGTGAGAATACTCCGTCCTATGGTCTTGCCACACAAACCTTGAGCACAAAGATGAATACGTCAAATTACCTGGTATGAAACGTCCACAGCAGCAAGAGCAATAGCTTGGGTGGCGTCTGTGAACATTGGCGTCACATTCCGCATCTCTTGGAACATCCTTTTGCTGGATGAGGTGATATCGGAGAAGGGAGACTGGGTTTGTCTGTCTATCTATCAATCGATCTATCGATCTATCTGTCTATCTATCGATCAATCAATCTATATATCTATCTATCTATCTTTCTATCTATCTATCTACCTACCTACCTACCTATCTATCTATCTATCTATCTATCTATCTATCTATCTATCTATCTATCTATCTATCTATCTATCTCTGTCTGTTTGGGCTTTCTGTCTTTGTGAGCAAAGAAAAATGAAATGAGTGGGAGAGATGAAGAGGAAGGATCACAATTGGAACCTTATTATTAAGGTGCACGAGGATTTTTTTTTTTATTATTGTAAAGCGCACTGAGTCCTTTCTTTGTGGAAATTCGTTCTATGAATGAAATTGTTTCTAATATTTTCAATGTAGCAAACCTGATTTGAAATAATTAATTCGATGTTTTCAAATAAATTCGAGTGCATGCCAAGTATTGTATGACATATTATATCTTTCAGTGAAGAGCTATATCAGGTTCACATGTCTAAGTCTGCAAGACTAGCAAAGATAAAGCATCCGCACAGTTATTTAAAATAAAACGAACTCCTCCATGTAGTGGGATATCCTTTTCGTATTTTCGCTTTCGAAAGGAAAAAAAGAGGAGGGAGGAGGAGGGGGGGGGGGTTGGCATGATGTACGTGTAACCTTTTTTTCTTTTCTCACGATTACTGATATAATAGTATACAGAGCCTATACTTCACGGTTTGTTATGAATGTCAACGCAATGATGATTTACATAGAAATGTGGCACTGCAATTCAATAGTCATGGTTTTATACCGAGGTGTCATCTGGCTCAGGGATTGACGTGTAATAACTCGCCATGCTTATGATCGCCAGTTGCTGCCATGCACTCTGTCACATTTAGGCCAGTCAATGCCTTGATGTTATTCGTCCACACTGTTCGTTGTCCATTCACAACCCCTTTTCCCCAGATCTTACCTTCATAATGGTCTAGCTGCATTTAACATTATCAAAAGTATTGCATTCTTCTACTTTTCATTTTGATGGACAGGGTTTATCTTATGTGATGAAAATGGCGCACCTCATGTTTTCCCCCTGCTAATTCTGGACATTCTGCGGTAGCGCCACATCTCAAACGCAGTTTTTTGTTTTTGTTTTCCCATTTCTTTGTTTAAGTCCAGATCCCAGCGCCATATAGGAATAAATATGGGAAGATGTAGCACCCCACCAACTTCTTCCTTAAAGCAAGAGCATTAAACCAATAGTTTGTGCATTTAGCATAGTGTTGTTTCTGTATTAACTTTTCTTATTTCTATTTCTTTTTCTACTCATGCCATCGAGCTATTATTGATGAGCTTAGACATTTGAATTGATATACTTGTTCGTTCTATCCCCACATATATGTTTTGTTTAAGAAAGTGTTCTACAGCATTTGCAACATACTTAGGTCTGGTAAAACCCGCAGATAAGAGGTATCACAAAAGAGTAACAAACACCAAAAAAAAAAGGCTGAGATAAAAGGACAATTGATATTTGATAGGAAAGAGCATGCCACTTCAGAACACGTGTCAACCACCCACACTTCCCAGAGAGATATGACAAATGCGTAGGATGACCAAAGAAATAGTATATATCTTTATTCTGCCCCCCCCCCCCCCCCCCAAAAAAAAAGGACTCGGGGACCCAGTCAGTCAGACAAACAGACAGAAATACAAACAGACAGACAGACAGACAGACAGACAGACAGACAGACAGACAGACAGACAGACAGACAGACAGACAGACAGACAGACAAGCCCTTACTTAAAGAAGACTGCCTCCGCTTCTTTGCACACAGCCGCCATGTGAGCAACAGCCTCCACGGGGTACAAGCCTGGGGAGTACACGAGAACATTCCATGGAGTGAGGGGATGACTGTTGTTGGTGGCTGGTGGTGTGGTGGTGGTGGTCGTTGTTGTTGTTGTTGTTCTTGTTGTTGATGGTGCTGTTGTAGTTTTTGTTGTTTTTATTGTTGTTGTTGTTGTTGTTGTTGGTGGTGGTGGTGGTGGTGGTGGTGGTACTTTAGGGGGGGGCGTGGCATTTCTACGTGTAATGTGTAATTTCAGCACACGTCTCAAAAGATACCCTGATAAATATTTACCTTAAAAAGTACTCTCTGGGTCTGTATGTTCACATGTAAAACAGTTAACAAAAGAAAATCTGATGCCATCACTCTCACACCAGTCGTCTAAAAGTAGGTGTTTCCTAACGTCTTGTAGGATTCAGGTCAGGGTACAGATTGCATTGACAGCGTTTGTGGTATAGAGTTCGGACATCTTCCTCATTGTTCTCCAAGTTGCAGATGACGAAGCTTTATCCAGTATCCCAGTCTGTCTGTTATAAAGTTGTACCTTACTTAATCCCAGGATGAACCTGGCAGGCAGGGTAGAGGCAGCTTGCCTCCTAAATGGTGTTGATGGAGGGCGTAAAATTCACGACTACAACCAAAGATCGTACCCAACAAGATTGTTCACTCAGCCAAAAAGGTGTCCGCAGAACTCAGCGCATTGTTTGAGATGACGCTGCAGTCTTTGTTTTGAAGCTCTCTTTCGTTTCTCCAGAAGAAGAATAGGAACATCACAGCTTGTTAGTTTCACTTTTATTGTTTCACACAAGTAGATTACTCTGTTCGCAAATTCCGCGCTTTTTCGAAGAGGGCGTCACCGAATTTTGAAGACACCTTTCTGATTGGCTCAAAAAGAGAAGTGAACTATCTGTTGCACACGATCTTTACTATAAGGTATGAATTACTGAACTACCTTTGGCAGACTCCCCAGAGAGCATCACGCTGTCGGCTCCGTCCAGCACGGCGTTGGCCACATCGTTACTCTCGGCCCGCGTGGCGCGCGGTTTGTACGTCATGCTCTCCAACATCTGAGTGGCACAGATAACAGGCTTGCCCGCCTTGTTGCAGGCGGAGATCATCAGTTTCTGAGCCACGAACACCTGCCAGCAAGTTAGTTTAGTTTAAGTAAGGTTTTACGACGCTCGCAACTGCACAAGGTCATATGAGCGCCAAGGAGTGAACGTCAACAGAGAAGTCCAAACGGGGAATCAGGCTTACTCTGCTCAAAGTCTGCTTCAACTACCAAGGAACCCCGAAAATAGCAGTTCACAAGAGAGTGGCAAACATACAAAAGAAGTAGAGGTAAAATGACAATGGTAAAGATGAGGAAAAAATAAGCAGCAGCTCCCCCTATGTTGTTCCGGCACAGTATGAGCATGACATTGATAAGTCAGCCCGTTTACAATTCTACTGTGCTTAGGAACATGTTAATATCCCCCCTTTTGGAATGGTCTAAAGACACTTCAGACAGTAGTACAGCTTGGGCTACCAGTAAGTAATTTGTGTTAGTAAGACTTTTACGGCATGCAACACGTACCCAGAAAGTATGTTTGTGTTAGTAAGACTTTAACGGCATATTGATAATAATTAAGTCACATAAGTGCCGAAGATTAGAAGTGATACAAGGAGTAACAAACATCAAATTTTTAAAAAGGCCGAGATTCACAGACGACAGAATGTTGATAGGAAAAAAGGAGCAAATCACACGGGAGCAACCATCAACCACCCACATAGGTAAGTATAAAAGAAACGTAGGTTAAAGGCATAGTCCTTTAAAAAGTCTGCATCTGAAGCTACTAGGACGCATTTGTGCTTTTAATCTATCTATCTATCTATCTATCTATCTATCTATCTATCTATCTATCTATATGTTTGTCTATCTATCTATCTCTCTATCTATCTATCTCTCTCTCTCTATCTATCTATCTATCTATCTATCTATCTATCTATCTATCTATCTATCTCTCTATCTATCTATCTCTCTATCTATCTATCTATCTATCTATCTCTCTATCTATCTATCTATCTATTTGTTTTGTCTGCCTGTCTGTCTGTCTGTCTGTCTGTCTGTCTGTCTGTCTGTCTGTCTGTCTGTCTGTCTGTCTACCTATAAATGCAAGTACACGTTTCTTAATTTCAATGATACAATGCAGTTTATCAAAGAACCTTTTCCGGAGGGATCTCGATACCCATATCACCTCGGGCCACCATGACACCGTCTGTCTCTTCCAGGACGTCCATGAAGTTCCAGAGACCAGAGAAGCTCTCGATCTTAGACATGATTTTAATATTCTTTCCCTTCTCCCCTAGAACCTCTCGGATTTGCCGGATGCAATTCCCACTCCTGGAAACAGGACAAATATTTCTGCTTTAAAAAATGCGGACGAGAATAAAAGCAGTGCTCTCTCTCTCTCTCTCTCTCTCTCTCTCTCTCTCTCTCTCTCTCTCTCTCTCTCTCTCCTCT